AGTGCTACAAGATTACCATATATAAACCAGTTCCAAATCTGCTCTGTAGCTAGAGCGCTCTATTCTTTGTAAGGAAATGTATCTTTGATACAAGGACACTTAAAGACGTGATTGCTTGGAAAAAAGGCATAAGCTTATGATGCTAGCCTTGGAAAGGGCCAAGAACTTTTAGACGTGAAGCTCTTTGAACTTGTCTTCCTCTGCACGTAGTGCATAAGTAGCGTAGCTACAGTAGCTCAACTACACCTGATAGCACTTTTAGTGAAGCCCGCACCTAGGTATGCGACTTCTTCTCTGTGTGAGAATGGACATCGATGAGATGTCAGCGGTTGGACTGTCACAGGCACAACAGGAAGGATTGCAGAAGCTGCTCCCTATACTTGGCCCCAAGGGCGTCATTGCCCAAGGCGAGGAAGAGGCTAACAAGCATATTCATATGCTTGATGAATATAATAACGCTCTAATCAAGCATGTCAAGGCATAGATGCCTTCCTCTGCGCCTACTTCCATGGTGTAAACGGGTAAGGACCCGTTACGTAACTTACACTTAAGGGCTCACAAGGAAACGTTAAATAACACGCGTTAATCAGATGAGTGCTTAGGTAATACTCGTTTTTTATATTTATACTTTTTTCCATGTACGAGTTGTCTCCAAACGTCTGAGAGCTACTCAATAGAAAGGTGCATCTGACTGGTCGATAGTGGGCCTGATTCCCACTTACCATAGGAATACGACATGCTGCACCCGCTATATCGGGTACAGCGTATACATACTTATGTAATATATGTACTTAGCTAAGTCTACTTATGAAAGGGATTGCTAGGTCGTACCTAGCAGGATGTGTACATTACACGGCTGAACCACCACCACCACCCGTAAAATAGCACACACATTTGTGTGCACAGCAAACTAAAAGTAAAAAAGCACAAAATGACTACCAACAGAATCTTTGCCTCTGAAGCAGCGATCGCGGCTACCATGAGCAGACGAGACGACACCACGTGCAGTACCGCCGCAGACAACACCGGAACGCAGACCCTGACACCGTCATCCATGGCGATGTCCATTATACCACGATCATACGCTGAAACAATTTGCGTCTGGAATTATACGTCTGCAGCGGTATAGAGCGTGTGCGTGTAGACCTTGAAATGCGTGAAATGTGGCACCGATGGAGACTACACGCGACAAGCTCAACGTGGCTACATGCACCGTGAGGCAAGCATTACTCGACAAGTATTAAGATGCATTCGCGCGCCGATGGAATGCTGAATCATCGTTTGCCGATCTTGTGTCGATGCTTGAGGAACTACAATAGCGCTATGGCCTCGCATAAAGTCCAAAGATCGTCTGATAGTTGTCGTAGGCTGCTGACCGCCCTTCTTGTACTGTAAAGTGGCGTGAAGGTTGTCGAAATTGCGACGGCAATGACGTAGCATGCCTGACCGCAATCAATGGACGATAATGATCCATAATTACTCGATGAGTGATAAGGAGAACACTTGGATCGGAAGGTACGAGCGAAATCGCTACGGGTACCGGCACGCGCATTCATTGAGTCGAGCTAACATAAACTGTGAAAGGTGACTCTTCACCTAATCCAAGAACTCGTTCTCGCAAACAAAGTCTTCCAATATCGAGAGCTGTATGACGCTCGCGATATCGTTCACCTCGCAATTGTAGGCATTCACGATGTTCGGAACGTTTGCCAAGAGTGTCATGCAAGGTTCCCACGAGTCGATATTAGGGGAAAAGCCGAGCCAGCGAACGCGGTAATGCCGAGTTTTTGGAACGTGGTAGTGTGGGACGTGAGCGGTGCCACGTCCAGTCTGTGGTGGGTCCCTGCTGCCCATGATACGCTCAACCAGCTAACGCCAACTCCCATTGAAACCAGTGGTGGAGTACCCTCACGCTGGAATCTTATGCTTTGCACAGGAGCTGCTAAGTCCTGCGCCGACTCTGAACCAGTCACTTGTGCAGAAGCTGCAGGGGGTTGGTCGTCAGATGAGCTTCGTTGAACATGATGTAATTCAAGCGTGGGACCGAACCGAGGATGCCAAGAGCCTTGCTTAGGAGACTTCGGCTGCGAGTGCTCGATTTGTACAGCGTATTGAACGTCTGAAGCAATTGAATGCGGCTTTTTGTCGAGACAACGCGATGTTGCGTGTGCTGCGCCATCTTGATCAGACGAGGGTACCACGTTATTGGGGACCGCGGATACGTACCGCGATCCTCGACGAAGGAAGATCAGCCGGACAGTAGCGCTCCGAGACGGCCAACATTGAAGGTTGGGTGGAGACGTATCGAGGAAGAAATATCGATTGCGTAGACATCACCCTTAGCTGGGATGATCTTAAAAGATCCAATATATCGCATTGCCCGCTTTGTGGCGCCAAGATTTGTAACCGACGCATCTTGTATTCCATTTGCTAAGAGTATAACAGAATCAACAATCTTAAATTTCTCCAGATTCTTGCGTCCGCGTTGATCAGCGGAAGCCTTGTGTTGGTCCACGGCAGAGGCGATAGCGTCGCGCACAAACCGTACGACGGACGACTTTGTTCGTACAAAAGCTTTAATCGCTTTGGAGTCGGATAAACGAGCGTTCTGCATCGGTATAATGTCGGAAGCAGGATGCCGAATGTCGCACTAGGCGACGGGACTAGTTGAGCTGCACGGCTTTCCATAGTTGGCGTCGGAGTCGCGTCGTCGATAGTCGCCGGAGTGATCTCGCGTAAGCAGCAGCACGAGTCCAAGAAACGTTGAGTGAGCCGTTAAGAATTACGTGTGAAGACGCCTACGACACCAAGTCATCTGGTGTCCCTCCCCCAACAAGAGTAGAAAAACCGGTCAACTGCCGTGCATTCCAATGCCTGGGGTTGGCCTGTGGGTTCGTCTGAGTAGCACCTCCCCCAATCGACCCGCTATCGGAAGCGGTCTCCCTATCCTAGTGGTTCGGGAGCAAGTAAAGGCCAGGCGGTTAGCACCCCTGAGATATCAAGGGAAAGTCCAGGGTTGAGAATCTCCCCTGAAGAATTTGATTATCAGGCCACCCTCGACCTAATCGACCGAGTGGCCACCTACTAGCCTACCGAGTGAAATATGTCCACTCGAGGCACCCAAGGTTGACATCGTGCAAGACCGACATCTGATCTCCACCGAGTCCTCCGAAGAATGCAACCCGCAAGCCGACGGGTACACAAGGTGAGAGAAGGTCTATACGCGGCATCGGGGTACCCTCTCCGACAGTCGGCAGTCCGGAACAGTGAGTGGCTTGGGGTCTCATCACGCAGATTTGAGAACCCACTCCACCACAAAGGTGCGCGTGCCCGGATCTTTGGAAGACGCGGGCCATTACTGCGAGTCCCAAGAAGATGAAGATTTCCAAGCATAGACTGAGGGAAAGACGGAAGATTCATTGGAAGCTGATCACCAGTGACTACAGAAGGTAACAACAAAGGATCGAAGGACAGACCGGACCTTGAAAGGAGTCCGGTCAATATGTCAAGGCTGAACTTATTGAAGAGAGACCAAAATGCCACCTGTGTCGTCACTTCCCAAGCTGTGGAAGGTGACAGACGCTATCGCAGCGCTAGTTACCTTCCTCCGAGAGGCAGGCATGGTTGCGGAAAAATACTGTCGCACCCCGGGGAAAACAATTCCTAGAAGAATTGTTTTCCCTGTGATTCGACAATATCAAGACTACGTTCGAGACTCACACAAGCGTATGGGAACCCTTGTTGGACCCAAGACATCGAGGCCCATCCTCAAAAGCAATCGTCGACCGAGGACCCGTGGTCGATGAGAGGTCTAACACAGAACACCCTGCCTCAAGGCACCCAGGTCACGGCGGGGCAGTCGTCACAAGGGTCGTCAACCTACTACTGACCCAAAGTACAGCCACACCACAGGTGTGTATGCCTTTGTGTAACCTCGTTACAATATATAAGTATTGACACGTATGTCGACTAAATGCTTGCCATTCAGTGTGTGCCTCCATCCTTCATTAGGTCGCACGTTGACTGGCATTATGGCTTATCTCAGCTTAGAGGCGGAGTGTAGCCAGCTTTGAGGGATTATATCCTACATTATTCCTTAACATACTAATGTCGAATATTACCATTAAAAAATAATATCCACGCTCGACATCTAATAATAATGTCAATAGAATGGACATTATACATCTTACGCTTGAGCAACTTTGCTCAAAACGAGACAAACAACAGATAACTTTACGAGAGAAGCGCATTTTTGATTTAGCCTTGATCATTCGTCAAGTAATACGGCTGGGGTTACATGGTAATTAATTTAGGCTACACGACAATTGTGTACGGCAGCATGTACATAAAAGACAGCGACTGAGTCGAACGCCTGCCTGTTCCGCGCTGTTCGTCGCATATGATGCAGCCATTAATTGAGAGCCAGTGGTAGAAAGTTGTCGCAATTACGACAAGGACGTGCGGTAACAACGTTCCTTTGTTCTTAGAGATTAAGTTTTGCGGTTTATACGAGATCAATATTGATGGACCAATTGATACGAAAACATACCGTCAATCATCAATGCACCTTAAAACACAAGGTCTTGGTTCTTAAAATAGTACACAAATAATTATGTACAAATCGAAAACCCGTGAAAGAGTGAATGGTTCGCGAGATATACTTTATAGATGAAAGACCCTTAATGCTCACACATCTTAAGAGACGACAATAGTGAGACGACCATGGATTCTAAACTTTTGGACGTGAAAGATCCTGTAATCTTGAGCAAAGTTGTAGTTTTTTGACAATCTGTGCAAACACAAAGCAATTGTCATTTTATGCTTGAAGCGTGCTAGTGGCGCAATACAAAAAAAAGACAATGGTGAGTAAACCGGGATATGATACTGCCTTACGATACCATACCACGCGATCTTTCATTGAATAATCTGGTCATTTTAAAATTCATCACCCAATACGACAATTACTCCAGTCTAATCATTCACGTATCTGCCGCTATATCATGTTCCAGCTTGAATTCTCGCGATGGTATCTTCTCGTTGGGGCTTTTGTAGTGCAGTTTTGCCTCGGTTCCATCTACGCTTGGTCAGTACTAAATCATCCCATTGACTTGGCCATCTACGGTGATACCACAAAGGGACGCGCAATTAATACCTTTTATATCGCAATGGGAGTGTGCGGAACATCAATGGCAGTCTTCGGACCTCTCGTTGAGCGCAAGGGGCCCCGGTGGGCTGTCTCTATCGGTACAACTTTGTTCTTAGCTGGTCATATCGTCACCGGTATCGGTTGCCACTACAAGTCCATTATCTGGATCTACATTGGCTACGGCGTCATCACTGCCATCGGTATGGCCCTATGCTACATTTCGCCCATATCTGCACTTCAGAAATGGTTTCCTGACTACCGTGGTACCGCTGCTGGCTTTGCTGTTGCTGGTGCTGGTTCGGGATCGATTGTCTGGAGCAAAGTATTCCTTCCTACCATTGACGCAGTTGGCCTTGCTTGGATGTTCGTCGTGCTCGGAAGCGTCATGAGTCTTTTCATGTATGTATCTCTTCTGGTCCTCCGCCTTCCACCCCCATCTTTCACTGTAAATGATCTTGATATCCACGGCAACAGCGTCGAGAACGACGCACTGGACGAGAAACTCGAAAGTGCGTACATTATGAATCAGACGCCCAAGACAGAGAATGCTACAAACTGCGCTTGGGAAACCGGTTCAAACACCGCCAGACCGTCAACAAAGCAGCCCACCCTGAAAGAGGCCATTTTGACGCCTGAATTCGCTCTCATCTACATCGCATTCTTTGCCAACCAGCTCTTCGGCGTCATCGTGTTGTCCCGACTTTCCAGCATGTGTGTTGATATTTTCAGCAAAAGCGAAAACACGGCTTCCGACATTGTATCTATTAACGGTGCGTTTAACTGCATTGGCCGCCTCGCATTCTCGTGCACCTCAGATCTCCTGGTGCGTAATTTCAAGATGGAGAAAGCATTTGCACGCAAAGTGCTGTATTACTACACCCTTGGCGCACAGATCATTGTGATCGGGTCATTGCCTACGGTCATTCGTCATGAGAGCTTTACCTACTTTGCCATCGAAATTTTTGTGCTGACAAGCAGCTTTGGCGGTGGACTTGGTACGGTCCCGGCCCTTCTTACCGACATGTTTGGAGCTTACAATGCCGGCCCAATGCAAGGTGTTATTCTCACGTCAGTATCCATTGGTGCTGTTGGCGGTGGCATTATCTTCAATAACTCGCTGAACAATATAATTGCTGACGGCATGACCGTAAGCGAGGCGTATATTGACAACATCAACGCTATTTTTATTGTCGTCTGCATCGGATTCGCGCTGCTTTTTCTTGTGCGTACGAACGTGGCGGACCGTCTCGAGCCAGGTTACCACTATTCACTCTGCGGTAAGCGCGTTATCAGTATCCCATCGAAGAAAAAGTCTGAGATTAAGCAAGCTGAGGTGGAGGAGAAGTAGTGAGTAGGAAGAAACTGTACAGTCGGTAATCTGAAGGACGTATGTAACCCAACCATCACGTTGGATGAAAAATGCCATACTACAAAATTCTATTCCATTTCCTCCTGTGTATGCTTATAACGTCGTAACTTCATGTCATCCAGATCAGATTTAGCAGTTACGATCACGATTTGATTCAAATGGTCGTGAATAATCGTCATCATATTTCCTGACGACACACGAGTATGAGATATAAAGAATCAACGATAAGCTGGACGCTCGCTTTTTTGTGCGTAACGTACTTGTCCAGAACCCGTTGATTGTCGGCCCATCGAGCAGTTTCGGCAGCCATCATTCGTTTGTCGCCGACATGTGCCATATTGAATAGGTCTGACACGAATTGTTCAAATGCTACAGATCCAAGGTAAAACCACCGTCCGGCATCGCACGTCAACGAGCCGCAAAGGACGATCTTTCGTCTCATTACAAAGTTCAAGTCTTTTTCTTGCGCCTTTTCGCCACGTCCTGACGCTATCGCACGCACTACAACAATAGAGATAGCGCGGGTTTCGCAACGGCTTTGCCTCAACGCTTTTTCCACCGATTGCAACGGCAGCCCCTTCAGCCAAAAGAAAAAAAACGGATAAAAATACCTCTAGTACTCAGGAATGGAGTGCTACATCATAACTCCAAGAGCTCACATTATAAAAATAGCTTGTTGCTAGTGAGCCTGTCGTCCTGTCAGCCACGTTTTTTCTGATATAAATACACAACTAGGCACTCCAGTATTTGCTTTGGATATAAATATCGGCTATATTTGATCACGCGATTTTCTACTTCAAGGTGTGTTGACTTTATAATAAGGAAAAGTATCTTGTCAAAGGCAAAGCTAATCTAATGTATCTTTCTCCATTTGAATTGACAGTGACTAAATCATGGGCCGCAAGAAGATTCAGATTAAACGTATTGAAGATGATCGCAATCGTCAAGTGACATTTGCCAAGCGTAAAAATGGTATTTTTAAGAAGGCCATGGAGTTATCAAAGCTTTGCGACTGTGAGATTGCGTTGATTGTGTTTGATTCGAACGAGAAGCTTTACCAGTACTCAAGTACCGGTGTGGATCAGATTCTGCTAAAGTACACGGAGTACGGACAGCCCTTTGAGACTAAGGATAATAATGATGTGAGTACTAGAAAATATGCAGTTTACTGCGTCTTCGTGTCCTTTGCGTGTTGTGACTAAACTTTTGTTTGATTTTCCTTATCACTCATTTTTAGTACGAGGTCATGTTTGGTGAGAAGAAAAAGCAGCTGCAAGAAGCGGCCAAGGCAGCGGCAGCAGCAGTCGCAGGAGCTAATGTTGAAGCATCTTCTAACTTTGATATGACTGACGAATCGACCGCTAATGGAACTACGGAGCAGTCTTTCCAATCCATGCATGGAGGTATGAACGGTGCTCCACTGGGACTTGCAAACGATCCCGACCATTACATGCTCAATTCTTGCAGTCGACCGCGGGCTCAGAAAAAACGGGTGCATCGCAGTTTCCAGCAGCTTCTCCAGAAGGCACACATTGGTTACACACCTCCAACGCTTCCACTCTACCAGCACGGGGTACGTTTAGCTTTCTATGACAAGATTTGGGAGAACAAGTATTTACTGATATGGTTTTTTTCTTAGATGGGAGCACCTGGAGGTCCTCCAAACCACCACATGTTTAACGCACTTCCCAGCCCACCCAATCTCTCAGGCATTCTTCCATCACCTACAAGTGCGTTTTGTATTGCGTCGTTGTGGCAGTTTTTTCTTCTTTACTGACGCGAAGTTTGAACGCTTTTTCTCTCAGCTGGCATGCTTCTGCATGACTTCAGTCCCCAAAATGCAAGTTTCTTTGGGCATAACTCCATGCTTGCTCCTGGCATGCCTGGAGATTTTCATGACAGCAAAAGCAGTGTTTTCGGTCTAAACCTTGTGTCGTCAGACTTTGGCCAAGGTTGTGGTAACAGCGTTCAGCCACAACAGCTGCAGCAGTCAGAAGACCCGTTCTATGCTTCAAGCAAGCAAAGCGATTTGCCTGACATGTCCAGTGCCAATTGTCCGAGTTCTTTTGTCGGTGGTGGTGAGGTGTTTGCAGACACCAAAGCTTTCGATGCTGACGTAACAAATTGCAGAGTAGCGAGGCCGTTGGAAAAGACGCAGGAGCAGTCACAGGAATATGATTTTACGAACAATAGAGAAGACTCACAAGCTGTGAAGGAGAACGAGACGACAGTTAATGACGAGTCTGCTGTAGACAAAGTCTTGTTACCGAAACGTGAACCGAAACAGGACAGTTATGATGACCCTGTCATATCTTCAAACTTGACAAAGTGTAGCGATACTCAAGGCGCGTCTCCAACCAGAGCAGTTGCGTCTTCAGAATCGCTGGCTCCGAGCATCACGTCGGACCCAACAGGCTGTGAAATAGAGAAGCGTTCACGCTCGGAGATAATGGAAACAGCGTCTACAAGTCCGCACAAGCGTCAGCGCATGGTTGTTTGACATATTTGAGTAGCCACGCAGCCTTATCGTTGCGTATGTGGTTGAGCTCGTCGATTTGGATTGCATCTTCCTACGTGTCGTTTGATAGAGCCAAATTGACGATTGCCTGCATTAGAATGCATTCTGACATGTAAGCTTAGTAGACCTTGTAAAACTGAATTCACAAGTAAACTGAAACACCTACTTTATTTATTGACTTTATAAGCTGTCAATTGCTTTAGTAATCTCGTTCGCAATCTCTTGTAGCGCCATCCACTGGTCTTTTGATAGCGAGATACCCTTCTTGCCAGGTTTTGACATACCGTTTTGCTCGTAAAACTCGCGAAGATCAATCAAAACCCCATTGCGAAAGTAACGAACAGTAATACGTCGTTTATTAGACAACTGCGTTTACGTTACAGAAAACCAATCCACTTGTTAATTGTTTCAACGCAAGATACATATAAGCAATGAGACATAAACGTCACCGGTAACGCAATAGCTCGGACATCTCCGTTTGGCTTCAAAATACATCCAGGAATATCATTGAGAGAAGCAATCATCCCAACTTGGTTTTCCTCTACTAATTCAATTGCTTCTGTAACTGCATCAAAGAAATTGTAAAGCTTCTTCCATTCATCCGGTACCAATGAAAGTCCTACACCAAACAACCCGAATATCTGAGTCTTTCCAATTACATAAAGCACATGGAGACAAAATATGCAGCAATTTCTGACCTTTTTTTCCAGGTTTTGTATTTCCATGCTCATCGTAAAACTCACGAATGTCCACAAACTTCATACTTTTCCACTTGCGGATCGTCACTCGACGTTTCGTCGACAATTGAAAGATGACGTCCTGTATCGCCATCGTACATTGATTCATAATCTGATTTTGTTGTATTTGTTGCGTCTTTTCTTTCGGTTTTACTGCTCGTTGAACCGTTTGTAGTACGATAAGCCTCGCCAATGATACAGTCGATTTGTCGGATGTTTGGGAGAGAGATAGCGGTGATGCCAGTCCCGACTGCCTGGACAGCATTTGTGTCAGAGATGGACGCTCTTCTGTGCTAATTTTGACGCGTTTACGAGCTCCTTTCTCCATCACTGGACGCTTATGCGATGGTTTCTCCGCCTGGGGCATTGTTGACATGATGAGTGAGGATCGAATTTGATCTTGGTGCGACAAAATGACAATTATGACATTTAGACATGTGTTTTTTTATTTTAGAATTAAATGAAATATGAATTTGAGTTGGGACTGATCCAGACTCGTGTTTTTTTTATTTTATTTCTAGAATGTTAGAATCCTTTTAGCTAGATTTTGATTGTTAAAACGCACTTCATTTTTGATGCCCTGTCTCTTGCGACGTAATACGTGCGCCAAGAGATGAGCAGATAAAAACAGGTCAATCTGTCTCCAGTGACATCTTAGATTCGTAATCTCATACAAAGTATGTGACTGGAGACGCAAATTTCTTAGTAACCTTTACTTATGTCACGAATATTAAATCTTACGGTGCAGCTTTGGTGACTTGAAACAATGGACTTTGACGATGATATGTCGGGGCTTCAGATTGAAGACCTGGGCGAATATTTTCTCCAGACCGATATTAATGACGATTGGAAAGGATTTTCTCTTGGATATACGGATGACCGGCATGAACAAACGCACTCACAACATCAGGAAGCGAAAGCTCATGACTACGAGACGATTTTTTCATGTGCTAGTGGTGATGGAACGTCCATTCATCATTCAACATCGTCGCCAGTGACGTTACGATATAATATTGGGCTTGAAATGGCACTGGATTCTGGATCAGCTAAGACCGACATGGCGACGTTGTATGAGACTCAATTGACTCCCGTTCGTACTAGACTTGATGTGGCGATGCTGATGAATCAAAAGACGAAAGATGCCATGGATTTTTCAGATTTTAGTTTGGATCAACACAAAGAATTGATGGCGCTAGCAATGCCCAAGTCGGCTTCATTAGTCGAGGTGCCGACTACGATTGGTGACAGTGTCAGCGATTCGGTTGCTTCCCATTTGCCAAGTCTCCAGTGCCAGCACATTTTGAGCAGCGACAATGATAAACTGAATGCTTTTAACGGAGGTGAACCGTTTAGACGGTACGTTACGTTAATTTGCTGGATGCCCAAATGCTTTTTTACGGATGGGTCGTGTCTTTTGTATGTGTGGTTCTGTTACGGGCTGAGTTGCCAGAGAGGTTGACTTCATGACCGGATCGTGTTATCCTAACACATGCTCGACTATTGCCAGCAAATCTACTAACAGCGCACCTTCATTAACACTAGAAGATGATCGAGGTTTTCGAAAGAAGTCACGTGAGAAGATGCGCCGTCAAGAGGTGAACGTTAAGGTATTTGAATGTCTCATTGTTAGCGGGTACAATGCTACAAGCCATTCAGCTTACGATTTATTTTACAGTTTGATGAGCTCATTGACCTTCTAGGACTTTCCAACCGCGTGCGAAAGAGTGCTATTTTGCAGGAGGCTGTTTCTACTATCAAATCGCTAAAGCGAGAGCGAGACGAGTTACGCCATGATCGTGATCGTCTGCAGCAAGAAGTAAGAAAGTTGGCTACGTGCCTACAGTACTCAAATCTAGGTTCGGTTGCTGCTGCAAATGCCATGACACAACATAGGATCCCGTCGGCACAGTACCTTAATCAGCAGCATGTGACAGCAGCCCCAAGCGGGTTTGAAGCAGTACACACGCATCCGCTTAGCATCCCTTGTAATCCGGTATGTTTACGGTTATTGTCTGGCACTGGTGCGTCATAATTTTCACGTAATTTCTGTGGTTTTTACATATGTCCAGGGCACAAACTGTTTCCCTCTTTGTTCAGCATTCTCCAACATTTCTGCACAGTTGCAGTCATATTCCTCCGCGCCGTCGTCAGTGTCTGGTCAAGTTACCATCGCTCCAAAACCGCTGAAGCCGGCAAGCAGTCTTTTACCCACCTCGGCCCCATTACCAAGATGAAGTAAGTTAGTAGTCTTTGTGCTTTCTGCATGACGGAACAAGCTGATGTGCTTTATGTTATTTGACAAGTAAAAGCCGTGGAATAATAGAGCTTGATCTGCAAACGGCCACAGGCTTGACTGGTTTTCGGCTGGACGCGTTGTAACAATTACGAGTGGATTGAGGGCTTAGTGCTACATCGCCTACCAAGTGCTAGTGCAACATCGCCTACCAAGTGCTAGTGCTACATCGCATTCAGAAGGGTACTAGAACGCCCTGGCAATGCTTCAGACCAACGATATTTGCTTTTAACATGAACGGTGAACAACTTGATTGCAACACTTATTGGTGATCGAGTCCCAACTGTTACGATTACACTACCTCATTGCACAATCGTTGACGTATGCTGTATTCAGAAACTGATAAGATAAAGCGGGTGCATATGCATCCTGCCGGCTAGTAAGCTCATCTTGTCAAGCAGGACGTACTCCAAGCACCCTCATTTCTTCTAACTCTTAGCTCAATTGCGGGTGGCATCAAAAGTTTCCTTGACCTTGTCCATAAAGTCTTCCGTGTATAGGTAGTGGTCTGGGGTAACGGTAGTGCCGTGAATGCAGATCGCAAGGTCCTTGGTCATGTGACCAGCCTCCACCGTTTTGATCACAGCGTCTTCCAGGCTCAAAGAAAAATCAACAAGCTCCTGGTTGCCGTCAAGTTTGCCACGGTGGGCAAGACCGCGCGTCCAGGCGTAAATCGAGGCAATGGGATTAGTGCTCGTCTTCTTGCCCTGCTGGTACTGGCGCCAATGACGGGTCACGGTGCCGTGGGCAGCTTCAGCCTCTACCGTCTTGCCATCAGGGGCAACGAGCACACTGGTCATGAGGCCGAGCGAGCCATAGCCCTGGGCAACGATATCCGACTGAACATCACCGTCGTAGTTCTTACAGGCCCAAACAAAACCACCATCGCTTTTCAAAGCCTGGGCAACCATGTCGTCAATAAGACGATGCGTGTATGAGATACCGGCAGCATCGTACTTGGCCTTGAACTCGCTCTGGTACACCTCTTCAAAGATATCCTTAAAACGACCATCGTACTTTTTCAGAATCGTATTCTTAGTAGACAAGAAGAGATCTTGTTTCTTGCTTAGAGCAAATGATAGACAGCTCTTGGCAAAACCATAAATGCTCTCGTCCGTGTTGTACATGGAAAGACCAATGCCAGGTCCCTTAAAATCATACACTTCAAGAGTAGTCTTCTCACTGCCGTCTGCAGGCGTGTACACAACCTCAAACTTTCCTGGACCAGAAGCAATAAAGTCGGTACTCTTGTACTGATCACCAAAGGCATGACGACCCACAACAATGGGTTTTTTCCAGCCAGGTACAAGACGAGGTACGTTTGAAATCACAATTGGTTCACGAAAGACTGTACCATTGAGAATATTACGGATTGTCCCATTAGGTGAACGCCACATTTTCTTGAGCTTAAATTCCTCCACTCGTTGTTCATCTGGAGTAATGGTTGCACATTTAATACCGACATGATGTTGTTGAATCGCATGAGCAGCATCAATCGTCACTTGATCATTCGTTGCATCACGATGAGGTAATCCTAAATCAAAATACTCAATATCTAACTCAAGATAGGGAGAAATGTATTTGTCTTTAATTTGTGACCAAATCACACGTGTCATTTCATCACCATCTAGTTCAACAATAGGTTTATGTACTTTAATCTTTTGACTACTAGATGTAAACCCACGATGCATTATTGTATTTGTTATAGAATGAACGGTTTTTGTAAACATGATAATTCGAGTATTAGAACGAAGGTATAAGACAAGAAGGAAGGGATTACGTGGTACAAGACCAATTCAAAAGTGACCTTGAGATTCCAAATATGCGGTCCACAATGCATGAAATTCCTCCCCTCCTCCTCCCTCCTCCACCCCTTTATTTTCAACCCTTTGTTGCTAAATAAAAAGACTCGTAAAAACAAGTGTAAAAATGATGTGTTCATTCATATTCATTGATTGGCTCAATCTAATGTTCCCCTAACCAATAACGTTACACACACATATCAAATGTCATGGATACAATCATTATATGCATTTACATCCATACGAAAACGAGCTAAATGGATCAATATATCGCTCTCTCCATTCGTACCAACAAAATGTTCAATGCTCTTAACTCTCAGATGGTCTGAGACTGCGGCTCCGTCAATGACGTTGAAGGTATCGAAGCCGCTGGACTACCAGGACTACCAACACTCTGTGGACTCCTTGGCGACACGGACGCGGCTGAACTGGACGCTGGTGGAGTGTCCAAGCCATTGGCCTTGGAAGGAGACGTCTTTGAAGATGTCATTGTATTTGCCTTTGAGCCAGGAGACAGTGGTACGCCATCACCATCGCTTGACTTTTTCGTGTACTCTTCCTCCTCCACAAACTCTTCATCTTCATGAATTGTGCCTTGCTTGAAGTCCCCTGTCTCATCGTCAAATTCCATGTCTGCCATCTCTGGTTTCCAGTCGCCAAGTCCCTGGTACGAGAAGCGGTCAAAGTGCTTCTGCTCAGATGGGGACGAAGGCAGGGACACCGGGGAGTCTGGCATGAGCTCTTCACGTGCCTCGCGCATTTTGGCAATCGCGCGATTCAAATGGCTTTCATCGGTCACGTCTTCCATACGATGCGGAGGGCGTGGCACTTCCATCTCCATCCGCAGCAGCTTGTCCCAATCAATCTCTGCGAAAAAAGGATGCTGCTTGATTTCTTCGACGCCATCGGGGCCACAGCCAAGGCGGTGCTCTGGGTCTTTTGTAAGCAAATTCATAATCAGGTCCTGAGCCTCAGGGGTGAAACGATCGCTAAATTCAGGCTCTTCCTTCAGAATCTTGTCAAATAAGATTGTAGGCACATTGTGACGGAATGGCGAATCGCCCTGAATCATCTCGTACGCCAATATACCCAGTGCCCACCAATCCACAGCCTTTCCATAACCTTCTTTCATTATCAACTCGGGTGCCAAATATTCGCATGTGCCCACAAATGAGCTCGTCCGCTCGTTGTCATCCATTTCTTCCTTCGATAAGCCAAAGTCCGTGCACGCGACATTGCCATCCGCAGTAATGACAATGTTTTCTAGTTTCAAATCGCGGTACAAAATGTTTGAAGAGTGCAAATGTGCAATGGCGAGAAGAATTTCAGCCAGATAGAACCGGGCACGCTTAATGCTAAAGCGGCCACGACGACGCAACACCTGGCGAAGTGAACCACCGCTGTAGTATTCCATCACCATATAAAGTTTGTCTTGATTCTGGAAAGCATACTTTAGCTGGACAATGTACGGGTGGTCAGCCTCTTGCAAAATGCGGCGTTCTGCCATTGTTTGAGTGACTAGATCTTTGTTCATCACCCACTCCTTCTTTAGCACCTTCATCGCGTACAAATGACCTGCGTCTGCGCCATCCTTCTTTAGTACCAAAAGTACCTTACCACATGCGCCACGCCCAATAACTGTAACGAGCTCAAAGTCATTCACCGACATCTTGCCAGGCTTTGCTGACCCACTAAATACACTCTCCTTTTCACCCGTGCGAACAGCACGCGGTCGAGACCAATGGATAAGCGACGGCAGCGATCTGCACGTCAAACAAAGACGCACCTGACCCTCGTGGCGCGTGTTCTCTGTGGATGAACACTTTTCGCAGCATGGATTTTGACATGTGCGGCAGTGCCGGCGCCAACGACGCATGTTAAACGTACCTTTGCATGCGTAACATGACTTTTCCATGCCACTATTTACGTTTTTCACACGGAAACCTGACCACCTTGCCTTAAAGCTTGCGTACACTGATGAAACAACCAGCTGCAGCAAAGCCACGTCCGATTCCACGGAACCAGCCGACAAAACCACACAACCCAACGGAGTCTCTCTCGACTTCATGCGCTTTAATGTCTTAACACCTTCATCAGACGACAAATACGCGATACACCACTGAGCTATCATTTTCCGCAACGTGTACGAATCGTCTGACGAGATATGATGCGTAGACTGCAAAAAAGCGACACCACTGATGTGACGCTGCATCTCTTTCATGTGCGATCGCAGTGCTTCCACAAACAGAGTGCCACCATCTCGGTATGCCACAACGAATACGTGTGTAGCTCGAGAGGTCAGCACATGGTTGCGCCAGCCCGTCATAAATCGCTGGACTGCACTTCTCATCTGCACCGCACGCATTACAAAACATATTTGTCAGTCAGACTCCTAGCACGTTGTGAATCACAAATCTTGACTACCATGGCTACACCTTACATCAATTTCTCCAGTTTGCATCAAATCCTTAAAGACGTCGTCAAACAGTACAATACCAAACTTGTCTTCCTTTGCCTTGATTAAATACGGCAGCATCGATCCCAAACTTCCCTTAAAGATACCACCACCTTCCGATCCAGAGCGCACACAAAGCCGCGCACTCCATATTCCCGCCGGAGATCCATCACTGTCTCCAACAAATATTACAAGTCGATCTGAAAACAACGCTGTCTTGGATAAAAAAACACTACACTGGATTGTTTCGTCGTCCTACATATTCATATCAGACAAAATCTCTCATCATGTAAGTACCTCACACTCATATGTATCCATGTATCAACACAGACCAACTGCACTCACATGAGACGTCGTAATTTCGTGAAGCGTTTCCATAAGTGTTTGCATCTTGCCTTGAACGTTCTTCGTCGCTGCTTCCAGCAAACCACCAGGAGGAGGTAAAGGAGGCTCTGGTGGTTCCACATATGAACTATGAGAACTCACAGCTGGTGACGTACTGCTGTCTGCATCATCTTCACCAGGTGTTGAATCCTGTCTTGATCGGTCATAGTTACTGCTCTCCATATCATCATTATCATCGTCTCCTTCTTCCCCCGTGCCATGCTCTGAGCGATCATCTTCACCCACAAAACCCGTACTACGACTAAAGATACTAAAATTTGTCGTAAAGTTCAGACCGACACTCTTACGTCGTACTGCCTCACGAATGTTACTCATAGCTGCTACCGGTGACTTCTTCATAGTGTCTCTAGTATGCTCTTGTTACTAGCTTTACAGTTAGACAGCGTTCCGTTCTTACAAGCAATAGAGATTACCAAAAACTTGACACACGCGTCCTATCGCTACTTCCAACTGCTTTGTCTCGTGAAAAGTGTCAATAGATGGAGGAGATACGGTGTCTTATGATGCAGCACTGATGATCCTCGTCTAGAAGAAGTTAAAGCGTCTACACGGCCCAGTAAGTGTCGACACCTTTTTAGTTTAAGTGCCCCCCCCCCTCTCCAGCTGTGTCTGTGGGGAAAGAGGTTGTGGGAATGCGTTTGATCAGGTTTTGACTTGATTTAATATGTGAGAAGATAAAAATACTTACTCGCAAATACCGGTAAAAGTAGAAAAATCAGGAGGTAGATAAACAGCTCAGAGTTGCTACAAACCGCTATTTGTTTACTGACCGAATGTATTCGGTATTAAGGAGTTTACTCTAACCATGCGGTTTTACAGACTCTTGTAACACGTGAGACGTCACTTGTCATGTATTTTTTTTATCGGTATCAATACTTTTGCACATCATATTCCTCACGGTATGCATTATCAGCAGAACGCAATCAAAGACACAACCAATTCTAGCATATTTTACTGCATCTGACAAGAGAAGCCTTGCAATCTCTTAATTTATGGTTCATTGCCAAAGTTTTTAGTGGCTTTACTTGGTGGTGGATTGAATCTCATCACTCGTGACTATATATAAGCCAATGTCAAGTCGATTGATCAAATTTCCCGTCATACATTCGATTACATCATTGCCCGCATGCGTTCTTCAGTATGTTTTTGCATTGTTAGACGGCATCATTTGTTGCAGTCTATTGACAAATGATAGTAGACTTCACTATGGTCAGAATTCTATGACAGCTGTATCTTTCTCTACCCAGTCATACGTAAGTTTTCCCATAATCATCTTTGAGGCGTCAAGGTAAAAAAGGAATAATAGAGTCACTAGTTTTATGACTTTTGTGATACATAGCTGAATATTCTCAAAATTTGTATGAGAAATTGATGCAGTTTTTGATTTCTTATTGCAAAATATGAAATTTTTTTAGAAAACATCAATCTGATTGGCTTTCTTCATTTAAGTATCCATGCTTGACTACCTATTTACCATAACTTTATCAGGAAAATAGCTACATATTGAGAGCAAGCAAGCTAGCTAGGAATAAGATGGGCGGACTGACCAAGAATCAAAGGCGAAGGCTTAAAAAGCGCGCACAGAAACAGGCAGAGGCCAATGGCATCGAGATTGAGTCCACTAGTATCAAGAACGGATCCATCACGCCGACAAGAGAGACAAGCATTGCATCAACCTTAAACGTGGAGGTAGAGTACGTAAGTGCTGACCTTAGCAAGGAATTAGCGCTACCACCTGATGATCCAAACTATGAGGAGATGATGCGTGTGTTTGGTAAGTTTTCGTCCGCGGAGGAACTTTGTGGCACGACGGATAACGAGGTGCGTTTTCAGTTGCTAGATCTGTGAGTATATTTACGGTATTTATGGACAACTAATGGGATGTTTGCATTCTTTTGTTTAGGATGTTAAAGACGAAGAAAAGAAAGAAAATGATGGGGAAAGAGATGAGGAGGAGGGAGTAAAGAAGAAGGAGGAGGGAGTGAAGAAGAAGGAGGAGGAGGACGACGAACAGGTGTTGTCTAGAAAGGCTCGTAAAAAGAACAAACGGCTGAGTGTTGCAGAGTTGAAACAGCTCGTGTCCTACCCTGATGTTGTGGAAGCGCACGATGTCACATCTGCAGATCCACGTCTACTGGTATATTTGAAGTCGTATCGCAATACGGTACCGGTACCGCATCATTGGTGCCACAAACGGAAATATTTGCAGGGAAAGCGTGGCATTGAGAAACCGCCATTCAAATTGCCTGAGTTTATTGCCCAAACGGGTATTGCTGAAGTCAGAGAGTCCGTTACAGAGGATGATGAAAAGAAAAAAACAAGCAGAAAGCAAGAGAACGCGTGCAGCCGAAGATGGGTCGAGTGGATATCGACTATCAAGTACTTCATGACGCGTTCTTTCGTTTTCAGACGAAACCTAAGCTCACGCAGCTAGGCGACCTGTACGCTGTATCTGCTCATGATGAATGTGTGTTTGAAGGATCGCTGTCTTATATTGTGTATTTGCTACGGTCTTGCAGGTACTACGAAGGAAAAGAGTTCGAAGTAAAGCTGAAAACGAAGGTTCCTGGTCAACTTTCTGATGAGCTTAAGGCAGCACTCGGTATGGTAGAAGGTGTCCCACCTCCGTGGCTGCTGAATGTACAGCGATACGGTCCGCCACCTGCATACCCAAATCTTAAGATTCCAGGTTTAAATGCTCCAATTCCCGAGGGTGCCAGTTTTGGTTACCATCCCGGTGGCTGGGGCAAGCCGCCAGTGGATGAAAATGGTGTGCCTCTTTACGGCGACGTCTTCAGTAAGGCGGTCGAAACCGAGCATCAGGTATTGCAAGATGTTGAACATGTTGCTGTAAACGTGTACGAGTTAGTAAGCTAATCGTCTTTGTACTGCAGGATGAAGAAATTAACCGGGAGAGATGGGGAGAACTCGAAGAGGAAGAAGGTTTGTTCTGCAAAGCTTATGTGTTTGAAACTAAGCAAAGCAGTACCTCATCTTTGCTATAAAATCTGTGCAATGCAGCGGAGGATGAAGATGAAGAAAACGAAGAAAAAGACGAGGAAGCAGAAGACCTTATGGAAGGTGATAGTGACGCTAAAGGTCTGGACGCGACTGGCCTGGAAACTCCTCTCGTGGATGGTATTTCGAGTGTAGCATCCGGTCTTACGACGCCGGGCATCGTGGATTTGCGAAAGGGCCTTCGGTACGTTGTTCAGCTTGTCGCTACTTACACGTGTGTTGCTCCTGAATTTGCGATGTCGTAATTGTTGTTTAACTGAGCAGAGGAACGGAAACACCTGATGCTCCCCAGCAGCTCTACACCGTCTTGGAGCAGAGAGAGGTAGGTGCTGCATCACTTGGTACTGTCTGCGCAAGTATTGAACACTATTATTTTGCTTTATCATGTAGACATCGGTGGGGACGTCGCTATACGGCTCAGGCCATGCATACGTTGTACCTGGTGCAGCCGAAATTTTGAGTAGTGGCACGCGCACGGAGACTGGTCGAGTCAGGCGTCGCTTTGAAGATGTCCCTCCGTCCGAATCAGCAGATCCTACGGAAGACAAAGAGGAGGCTGTACAGAAGAAAAAGAAAGCCAAGACCGAGAAAAGCAAGAAGCTCAAGGATTTCAAATTCTAAGTGTAGGTAGGTAGAAAGACAGCAACGTACAACACAAACATAAAAGCCACCTTGTTTGATCTCTTCGCTCGCTGGTGTTGCCTGTTTTGTTACTGATAGTTGATTGTGTTTATAGAGGTGGAAGCCCCATCGCCTCACGCAGCTCCATAATTTGTCGTCGCTCCTCAGGTGGTAAAGACTGGATGATCTCAGGTGCTAAATTCTGCACTTGTTCCAGCAGCTCCTGCTGCTCTTGGTCCAATTTTTCCATTAGATCATTTGATACACCCTGTAGCAAAAAAAGTAGCAGTATATAAGTAACACGTCTTACACTGGATAATATCTACGATAAAATCCAAACACAACTTACAATGGCATTAGCAGGCGCAAGTCCCGATGCCGTACGCTCTTCAACCATACCAAGACGAAGTTGTGCCTGAGCAACAGCACGAGCCAGTTCCGGATGATCTTGAAGAAGACGTCTTGTCTCTGCTGGATCACTCTCATTGCATTGTTTTAGCTGATATACTAACTCATAAATGTTTTCTAAGGATAAATCCTTGACACTAATCGCTTTAACCTCCATTGAATTATCTTACAAATTGTCATAAATTTGGTGGAATGTATTTTGTTTTCATCTCATTCAATTAATTATGTGCACGCACATGAATTAGTAGACTGTACCCATTGTTTTCGTAGCCACCCACCGAATGCTGCGTGCGTCTCAGTCGTCGCTTCGATCACCGCTCTTTATCCGCCCGCGTCGCTTCAATACTGTTTTGGTTAAAGCTCTAGCAACATCAGAATATACAACACCTTTTGAGATTGATACAATTCATCTTTTGCAAGACGAAATGAACGTAACACGTCACAACTTTGCCAAGTGTCTACATGACGTGCAAAAAGACTTGAAACTCCCGACCTGTCGCTTTATTGCGATTGATACTGAATTTACTGGTCTATCACCGAATGAAATGGAACGTGAGCAGTATTTAGATACACTCGAGGAGCGTTATCGAAAGGTTAAACGTGCAGGTGAGAGTTTTCTCATTACGCAATTTGGTTTGTCCATTGTGCACTTGAATCAGAAGAATGAGTTTCAGATCAAGACGTGGAATTTTTACATCTTTCCACGACCTTATGGGTCCTTAGATGAGCGTTTTCTATGTCAAGCTTCAAGTCTTCAGTTCTTGTCAGAACATGGATTTGATTTCAACAAATTCATTGGAGACGGTATTGCATTTGTCAATTTATCAAAAGCTGAAAGGATGGAGAAGCATTTGAAACGTCGTATAGATGGATTGACTAAGATAAATAAGAATTTACAGCTTTCGGACGATGGAGTGAGTTTCCAAAAGGAAGTCAAGGAGCAGTTGAATCAGTGGATTGCTGGAGGAGCCAAGAAAGGAGAGAAGCTAGTTGTACCGACGAGAAATTCATTCTACTCCATGATTGTGCATGAGACTGCACGTGCTAGAGCAAGTTATTTGTATTCAGAAGGTACCGAAGGAGGTGTGCAAGTGTCGTACGTGTCCAGGAAGGTTAAGGATGAACTGATTGCTGCAAAGATCAAGGAAATGCAACGTGAGATGGATGATGCAATTGGCTTTTCCAGGGTTATTAAAGCTCTGAGTGAAACCAAGCTGCCTGTTGTTGGACATAATGCATTGTTGGATTTCGTCTATGTCTTCCATCAGTTTTATAAACCGCTTCCCGAGACGTTGGCTGAGTTCAAATCGCAGCTACTAGAACTATTTCCGACCATCTACGATACCAAGCATGTTGCGCTGCGCTCTCCTCTTGGCGAAAAGTTAATATCGACGAGTTTGTCGTCGTTGTTCGAGTACATGCGTGAAAACGTTAAGCCTGAGCCCAAAAATTTGATTCCTAGTGACAAGCGTTTCGACACGTACCGTGAGGCACTCAAGGCTGAGGCTGATGACAGTGGAAGCTTATTGTGCCATGAAGCTGGATTTGACGCGTTTATGACTGCTGTATGCTTCTTGGGTTTACTCGTTCACGACGCCAATGGTGAGATAATTGATGAGTTGGTACCCAAAGATGGTAGTTCTGCTCGCCTAAAATTGCGAATGGAGGAATTGGAGCAGTACAAGAACCAGCTGAATTTGATGATCTCGGACGAGTGCTTCTTGGATCTGGGCAACGTCTCGCAGACGATCGACCGCGCTCGTGTGTATCGAGTGTCTAGCACCACAAAGCGCCGGATTCAGCACGTGCGCATGGAGAACGTGTTTAAGTCGTCGAAAGTCCAACGCATTGTGCGTGAGAGCGACCAGGACGCGTTTGTGATTCTGACAGAGCCAGTGGAGGCGGTAGATGATGAAACAAAGGCCGAGTTTGGTGTGGAGATCATCTCGTACGATGAGCATGTGGCTGCTGAAGCTGAGAAGGCCCATGAAATGACAGCAGAAGCTGACCGCAAGGTTTTTGAGAAGATCACAGCTGCTCATGTATCAACAACAGTCAGTGACGAGGTAATAACCGCTGGTGCGAAGGAAGACGTGTTCTCGTGGAGTCGCTGTACTATTTCATAGAGCATAAAGCTGTAGCTAGAGGAGGACTTTGGCTTGCGTATAAGTTACTGGTAGCCATAGAGATGGAGACCTACAGCATTGTAGTAATAGATAACTTCTGATAGTCCAGTTACAATTATTGCCACAAGCGGTTAGTCCGTGTTCACACACTAATCTCTTGCATTCTTCTCATGAACATTGAGGGTGATGACACGCGCAACGTTCGTATTGCTACGACCGCGTCTGGACATGTATCCACTTCTCATGGCCAGTGTGAAGCCAAGTACATCGAAGTTGATCGCCTTCAAGCGCATCTGGACAAGACTCGAGCCGAAGAAGAAGAAAAAGAAAACGACAACGACAACGATGACGCGTTGCTATTACCTCATGCCCAGGCAGTGAACAATACCGACCCACTCTCGTTTCTTTGCTGCTGCAAGTTCAAGCGACTTGGACAGAGCTACGTGAGTATAAAGAGCCATCAAGGAGATTTCGTGTCGTCTGACGTGACACTTTCGTTCTGTTAATACTTCTAGATTCTTCATGAACGACGTGATGGCGTTACAATGAAGACAAAGCTCGTGATTATAGGGCCCCACTGGATCGGCGTCTTGATTACATTGAGCATTATCTTGATATCTACGGGGGTTATCCTCTCCCAGCACATGGCAAAGATGCCATGGTACAACATCATGATGACCTTAGGACTCTGTAGCATGACGCTATTTTATTTATTCCAGACAACGTGTTCGGATCCAGGCATTGTACAGTCCAAGACAGAGAAAAACATGTTGCTAACTGAAGACGAGAGTGAGGTCGCAACGTTGCAAGCTGGCAACGTTATAACAAGGAAAAAGGCCGTGGAGATGCAGACTGTTAGTGCTGACTATGAACTGCGTCGACGGCCACAAAGATATCGATTTTGCGATATTTGCGGCATCAAACAGGACAGATCAACCGATCATTGTGACGATTGCGGAGTATGTGTAGCTGGCTATGATCATCATTGTCCATGGATGGGCAAATGCATTGGCCAAGGCAACATACATGCCTTCAAAATGTTTAACGTCTCATGGGTTAGCTACGCTGTGTTTGTGCTATTTATCAGCATTAACTGGGGTCAAGTTTCAGTGTAAACGTTGCACAGCTCCGCCTGAGAAGCATGGCTTTCCAACACATGAAATCTTTACACTTTTTGGTATGAAGAGGCACCATCTGCAGCTTTATGTTGTTTACTCTGCTTTACCATTAACAGCCTGCTTTTTGTGCTTCTTCTTACGCTTCTTCTTTTGCAACGTCGCTGCCGAGGTAGTATGGTTTAAGGACGTGGCGCCAAAACCTTCAGCAGCAGCTTTCTTTTCATTTTGTTCCTCCTGGTGCTTGGCAGAAGGCGTCGTAACTGCAGCTTTCATCTTCATCTCTGGCACTTTGTTTTCTAAATCACTGGACGAAGAAGAGTCCTAAAGTTTGAACAACACATTACTATCAGTACTAGTCCGTTCAATAGTACGCAAGACATGCAAAACATGCAGCGAAATGAATGTTGCACAGTTATGACTCGTATGATTCCGATAGGAAAGACCACAAAAGCCTTTTACAGACGCAATAGACAGGCATTGCTTCAGTTGCTACCTCGCCAGAGCAAACATTCCCCAAAACCGTCACTCTCCTTTATATGTCCTCAACTCCACTCCTCCCGCCATCGTTTCCGACAAGCAGTAAGGTGCAAAGTATATATGGACACAGAGAGCAGAAAGCAGTGGATCACAGCCACATCCAGCACGAATGAGACAGCCACAATAGCCCATCCTACGTCTGCACGGAGACAGCCTTAAGGACCATGCGTGAGTATTAAGACAAGAAGAACTCTTGCCACAGCAATCATACACTTTCCTATTCCATTTGGTCTGGACCCCCATGATATTGAAAACAGGACCATGGGGATAATTTACAAATGGAAGAAAGAAGAAATAACACATCGACAGCATCTACAGCAGTAACAGTAATCGTACCTCATCCCAATTCTTTTCCGTTATCGTTTTCTGCTCACGAGCACGTTTCTTGCTCGTTTTAGTGGGGATCATTTCAACATGACACGTTTTCTTTTCCTCCTCTTCTTCGAACAAGTCCATGGGAGGAACGGGTTGAAAGTATCCAGTAAGATTTACAACACCCGAGCCTTTTGACAAGTAGAACTTGACCGTGTGATCAAAGACTAAATCTAACTTCACCTGCAATGGCTGTTTGCCACCCAAATGTGCAACTGCGCCCTTCCAGACTTTACCGTCGACTTGCTTTGTTTCGAGACCCAAAACTACCTGATCGTCGGTATTCAATGCACCACATGTGGCATTGCACACATTAAGCACAATACCATTAGACACATCAACAACTACATCCTTCGTCTCTGTCACGTCACAACCCCAAAACGCAACCATTGAAACGTCAGGAATAAAACTAAAACTGATGCGTTCAAGTGACAGATTGAGATGGATAAATAGCTCCTGATAAAATGACTGGTTGTGCTGCAGTAATCTCTTACAAATTGCTCTAATACTTGTAAATACCGGTAAGGTACCCTTCTATTTGGTGCATAATGAAACATTTTTGAGGAGGACGCTATCATAGTGCACTGCAGTTTTGTCGATCAAGATGCAATAGTGTGATGTTGAGTTCATCCGTTGAGCGTGAACAGATTACAAGATGACATGTTGAGCCACCTTGATAAACTGTTAGTTGCAGAAACCATCTATCGAACGTTGTACAGCTGAGCTCGACAAAATAATTATTGTTATGCCCTGCTAGTAGCTCCTATCTAGAATCGAATCACAACGAAGGACGATACTACCATTTGAATTTGTTGTAATACCAACTTTACCACGACATCGTCACTGTGTGTTTGTACATTCATAGCTTCGACTCAACCAAGCTGTGGACGACCCGTGGATGTGTCATTCACAAATGAATAGCAGCATCGCGCAGGTCATCGTTGATTGAGGGTGACTTACAATCGGTTCCTTAAAGCTACTGCAATCCGCCTGAACTACAGTTGGTCACAGTTGCTGTGATACCAATAGAAGCTGTATGCGATAAAGTCCAATTTCAGTTTTCAGCGGTGTTGCCTTCATGCAAAACGATAGGGTCCAGCTGTCTTTGCCAAAGCGATTATGCACAAATAGTAGCGCTGCCACCGGACCTCGAGCCATCTTCTTCTCCAAATAGACGCATCATTGAAACACTGCAACTGACATCTACGATTACAAGGCATGTTATTAGTCCTTGCGCTGTCACTGGAGACAGAAAGAAGCGCAGGAAGCGCAAGCACAGAACACGGCCTTTAAACGTCAAAAGAGTAAGTTATCTAGCTTTTTTCTGCTCGACAACAATGTCAGACCACGCATTTCCTACTCAGCTCGATTTTCGACGCTGCACATTAACTCTCTCAGTTTCCAACACTCCAGCAGTGACTTCATTCATTTGTTCTTCATCTTTCGTGTCACATCCGAGAGTGATGCAAATAGACAAGTGTCACGACGGTATGCTTGAGGATGTTGAACATGAGCAGGAGGTACGAAGTACTTTTTACCTTCTGCGACGGTTTTGTGGCTACCCTGGATATGAAGTACTGGGTAGCAAACAAGAAAACAAAAAAGCAGTTCAACGAGAATACCAACCAAGTGCGCGGGAGCGTGCTCCGGATGTTTCATTCGTGTTTGTTGACCAGGCACTGGTGTTTGATCATCTTGAAGGTCATATCTACTGACTTTCTCTCAGCGATACCAACGGTGAAAGCGCAAATGTGAATCAGGACTGGCATAAGATAATGAAGATGCAACTGAAGCGGCTTTGTAAAAGTTCTGTCAAAAGGCTAACGTATGTTCACTACTATCGTCAAAGTCACCACTCAAAATGATGAATTCATTTTCCGCCCGTTTCGAACCCGAGCAAAATCCGTCGCTGACCCCCATCGAGGAGATTCAACGCTTCATTCGTGAATGTGAGACCTACGAAGTGTGTCTGACAAGCACCTTGCGTGTGGAGTATGCTCTGCGCGATCCATTGGCATTCTATCGTAGGTTGCGTCACAAGATCCCAGCACCGTTCGCTGAGTTCTAACTAAGTAATACGAACAGTTGCTTTCAGACTCCAGTCCAGCTCGAGGGGTCAGAAAATGTCGTTGCCCTGGTACTTACGCAACATGTTGTTCGTCACCCGAGCGATATTTACGGTTGAGAGTTGATGGGTGGGTGAAATCTAAGCCCATTAGAGGACATGCCGAAGCGGTTGTAATCTTAGCGAAGACGCCGCCATTGCCGAGGGACTTGAGAACTGCGAGAAAGATCGAGCCGAGAAGAGGATAGATCGCTGACCTTGTGCGCAATGACTTTGCACGAGCTCTCGTAGCTACGATTAGTGCCAGGCAAAGAAGACGGTTCTGGTGCTTGAGTGGTTGTTAAGATAAGTTTAGGTTAGATGTACTTGCCCAATTTCAACTAACTGGACCCGGTAGCCAACACAAACATATGCATTTATATCGTTCTTGTCTACTTATTTATGTAAGTTGAGCTTCTTTTCAAGCAAGCGTGGTGCTCAAATTGTGACAGAATGTTGTGTATGAGTGGTGAGGTAATCGATAAATTGTGTTATTTCGAAAGTGAGAGTATGATTGATATCGGATTATCCTTTTGCGTTAAGCACGCCTAACACCTAACATTCCTATCATTTTTGTTGTGACGCACGTATTTGGATCAATATGACGAAGTAGCGTTGCATGAGTGAGCGTATCAATTTTGATGGAGTCTGCCGTTCAGCTTAGGTCCCGTCATTGATCGGAGGTTAACGATTTTCCTTTAATCATTAGAGAATTATTTCGTCAACGATCGGAGTTCGTTTCCCGGTAGTGGGGAAACGTTCTTCGAGTCTGGAACTAAAAGCTCTTGGCCGTATGTGGTCGTAGTTGCAACGGCAGCGAGCACGAGACAAATGAAGAGTTTTATCTTGGACACAGCTGTAATGGTTGAGATGATTTTGGTAAATTGTAGAATGAGAGAGCAATCATGCCCTCAAGTCTTGGAACCTCGAGCAGAATGAGACGACGTCTCAGTCAACGAAACCAAATCAGAAGCAGCTGGAAGTTTTTCGGGCATAGCAACCTTATTTCAAAAACAGAAACGCATGCCATGCAACCTTGTTCTAAAACCTCAGAATCGCATGCCTGTTCATGCCCAACGACTGATGACAGGCGCATGCCATGCTGTCTTTACATCTTGCAGAGGCCATGAATTCATTCTGCTTCACAAAAGGCTGTGCAACCCGTTGTTTACAAATCCATTCTAACCGCTTTTGAAGCAGCAACGTTTGTCATGACCTAGAAGATCTCTCGACATCGTGGATGCGCTCTTGTGCAAAACATTGCAGAATTCAAGGCTTGTCACCAATAACACAATTATAAGTTTTGATTGAAATGTCTTGAAACACTCAAAATATAGACTGAATCTCATATTTGTGTGCTGGTTCTCTCATACAAGTTCTTTTCGTGAACGTCTTGCTTGACCAAGAGGTTTTATTCAAGACGTCTCGGCTAGTCAAGAATTTACTAGTATTTACTAGTTAGTAGCTGTGAGCTAAATGCTATGATAGCGCACTGTATTTTCAACAAGCAGAAGACACACTTTAGAGCAGGAAAACTAGTTTCTTGTTGTTGGTTGCTTTTGATGACGATAATATTCGAATGTGGCATAATGAGATTGGAGGGGGGTTTTTAAACATTGGAATTTATCCTCTAGCTTTTGCAGTAATGGTGTTTGGTGCCAAACCAGAGAAGATTACGTCGGCAGGAAAGCTCAATGATGGTGGAGTGGACGTTTACAACTTTGTCACGCTCGAGTACACCAACTCTCGTTTCGCTACCATCGAGTACACAATGCTGGCCACGCTGGATGGGACCGTCACTATCACTGGAAGTAAAGGACGTATCCATCTTCTGCCTCGGCTCATACAGCCACAGAAGTTCAAGTGGGGGGACGATGGCTCGCAAACGAAAACAAAGTCATGTTTCCCATGGCCGACGCCTGCTCATGGTGCCAATTTAACTATAGCAGCTCAGAGGGATTTCGCTACGAGGCGGAGGCTGTTGTCAAGGCTATTCAGAGCAAACAGCAAGAAATAAAGGAGTATTCGTTTGGCGAATCTCTCCAAATTATGACCATCATGGACAAGATCCGCAAGGACATGGGTCTCGTTTATCCTGCGGACAACAAGTAAGATTTACACCACCTCTGTTGAAAGTTTAACGCTACGTAGCTAGTTGATATTCACCCTCGGTAGCGTTGCTGTCAGCACGCCGCTTACAAACTTTACGAAGCTCTAAATCTAGCAGAGTTCAATCAAAGGCGTCGATTACGACTAAAGAAGCGCCCGATTGTGTATCCATCTTCAAACACAAATGTTGACATATGATCAACACCATATAATGGACGTTTGTAATTGATACAGGTCAAGTCCTAATATCCAGAAGTTGGCATTTCATAAAAGCAGAGCAACTTTCATCGCATTTTGGGTGTCGTTTATTTAGCAATACGTTCGGTATTACCGGTTGTTGCCAATCTGTCGTATCAGTTAATTGAATTCAAAAAAACTGGCTTCATTGCTTTGTCAAGATCTGTTTCACATCAAAAATAACAGCAGCTGTTTCTTTCTATTCCGCTTTTTTAACGCAACATTTAGTGACAAAGTGCACCATAACAATGCAGCTGTGCTTCGTGCAACATTCACCCGAGTTAGCGCGACAGTAGAACAACATTCATTTGTGGAAGAAGTCATGGCAGCAAGTGTGCGCAATACCGCCATTAAACGCATTCAGGGTGTATGTATACAAGCAACATGACTATCTCTACCTTGTGAATTCACATAATTTCAATTTCATCGCCTCTTCTTTCTTGTGCTTTTTACTTCAGGATGTGCGGGAGATGATGACTAACCCAAGTGATCAATACGCAGCAGCACCACTTGAGGTATACGATACATTATATAATATGAAGCAATCATTTGATTACATAGAGTCTTCCTTATTTTGGGTTTTTCTTAGACCAATATGTTTGACTGGCATTTTACACTACGTGGACCACGCGATACGGAGTTTGAGGGTGGTATTTACCATGGCCGAATTATCTTACCATCAGATTACCCATTTAAACCGCCGAATATTATGCTCCTAACGGTATTATTACTATATTCTACTTGAGGTAATAGGAATCAAAGTATTGACAGGTTTTGATTGATGCTATTTTGTAGCCCAATGGTCGCTTTGAAGTGAAGAAAAAAATCTGTTTGAGTATTTCGGCGCACCATCCAGAGGAGTGGCAGCCAGCGTGGGGTGTTCGGCTCATTTTAGAGGCGTTAATCAGCTTTATGCCTACGAAAGGAGATGGTGCGATTGGTGCATTGGACTTTGATGTTGACGAGAGAAAGCGACTGGCGAAGTTGGTATGCGTGGAATTGTCAAAGAGGTCATTTTCTTTGATTGTGTGGTGCTGATTCTTGTAACATGCATGTGGTTCATGCAGTCAGTCAACTACAAGTGTGAGACCTGTGGACATGTGGCAGATTTGATACCAGAGCTGGAAGCGGAGAATGAAAAGAAACCGTCGAAGTATACGGAACAGATTGCTCAATTGCACTTGCACAGTTTGGAAAATGCCCAACCTTCTAGTGCATCAAAAGACGAAAAGGAAGCTGTGAACGCCACTGCTGAGAATGTAAAACAAACCTCAGAGGAGGCTCAGACGACTCCTGTCGTAACGCAAAATAGTGCGAAGGCCCAAGAGACGGCTCAAGGGACGGTTCTGCATGATAGCAAGCCCACTATGGTGGAGGAGTCAATTGTCGCTGCTGGTGATCCTGCTTCTACACAAGAGACAAAAGTAACACTGCCTATGGGATCAACAGAAACGCCGGCAGCAGCCGAACGTCATCAGAACGTTGACCCACCACCGATTGTTGCTCATGATATGACTCAAGTGCGTGAGTCGAACAGCGTGGACACAATGCTGCACTACCTGACTGTTGCCATTGTCGTTGCACTGTTTGCTTTGATCTACAAAAAGCTTCTGCAAATGCATGGAGTGCTGCAGTAGACTGACCACTGTAGTCAAAGTTGTTTTTCTTCATCGTTCAGTGCGCAAGTCCAGACGGTCAAGCGTTTACATTATATATAGCTCGTTCACAAACAATGAAACCATAGACTACTGTATTTTGTCTATGTCCATCGATTGTTTGTTTTCTTCGAGCACCTCTTGCATAATGCTGTTTGCAAGCTCCGGATGAACACGGCCGCCGCAGCGCTTCATCAACTGACCGATAAAGAATCCAAAAAGCTGTGTCTTGCCTTTCCAGTACGCCTCAAGGTTCTTTGCTGCTTTCTACCAATTTGCAGAAAATAGTTAAGATCAAGTTACAAGTCAATCTCATCCAGTCACTTTGGGGCACGTACGGGATCATTGAGAATAGCTCGGCAGTGTGCATAAATCTCGTTGGGATCCTGAATTTGCTTCCATCCCTTTTCTTCCACAATTTGCAGCGGTGTTTTCTTTGGCGTATTGTCGTAAAACATGAGCTCTAGTACATCCTTGGCGATTTTGCCCGATATAGTGCCGTCCTGAATAAGATCAATGAGAGCGCCAAGCTCCGTGGCTTGCACGGGGCAGCTGACAATGTCGCTGTTGGATGCTTTCAAGTGTCTAAACAAATCGTTCAACACCCAATTCACTACCATCTTTGACGGTCGAGTGTCTTGTGTCGCAATTGACTCAAAGTAGTGGGCTGCACCAGGCTCGTTCACCAACACTGAGCTTTCATATGGTGTAAGATCGTACTGCACGCACAGTCGACGTCTTAGCACATCAGGAAGTTCTGGCATTCTGTTACGGATCTTCTCAATGAGTTCATCCGTAAAAACAAGCGGAGGTAGGTCCGGTTCGAGAAAGAATCGATAGTCCGTTGCTCCCTCCTTTGACCGCATACGTTTCTGCAACAGAAAGTGAACCCAACAAACAACAGCTCAGTTAGTCCCACAGACAGATAAAGGCGTATGTACCCTTTGTTTAGTCGTACAGTTTCTCCAGTAGCAGCATCAAAAGAACGTGTCTCGCGATGCACCTCTCCACCCTCTTTCTCTATGAGCGCAATCTGCCTTCTTGCTTCGTACTCTGCTGCACGCATCATGTTGCGAATGCTGTTCATATTCTTCACCTCCACTCTTTCGCCGAAAGGAGCCGCAATGCTGGATGTCAACGCTTGGTGAAGAGTCTCCGCATCCGCGTTCTCTCTTTGATTTGCCGGCCGCACACTCACATTCAAGTCACAACGCATTGATCCTTCCTCCATATTGCCATCACACACATTCAAATGACGCAACAAATGCTGCAGTTGGCGCATGACTTGGCCTACTTCCAACGGACTTCGAAGATCTGGTTCCATTATGATTTCCAGCAGTGCCGTACCAGCACGGTTCAGGTCCACAACCGTATTGTTCTCTTCTAGATCATGATTACTTTTTCCTACAATCAGCGCATGATAAAGCACTATAAGTGATGAAGAAACAATCTCGTCTTACACCAGACACAATCTTGCCACCACAAACTCAAACCTGAATCCTGCTCAAGCTGAATCCGAGTAATCCGTACACTTCGCTGTATCACTCCCTACGTAATCCATGCAACATTTAAACAGCAATCAAGCCCTTATCCGCTACTTGCATCATTCTATCATATCTTCATCCCGCACCTTCATATGCTTTTTCTTCGTCGCCTGCTGCATCTTCCACTTATTCAATGCCTCGTTCTTCTCTTTCCTTGATTTATACTTGGAGACATCAAACGTCGGCTCGTCATCGTTCCAAGCATTTTCATGTTCGTTCGCAAGTGCATACGTTGGCAAATCAAAATACAACGTTCCTCCAGATGCCACTGGTGCTCGCTGTTGTGTCAACTGATAACCCAATGGTAGATCGCAATAGAAATAGTGTTTGCGCTCAAATAAAGAGCGTAAATGAACCGTAGCATCCAATGCTAGGCCCGTACGAATTGCTTGATGCACACACTCACGATTGATCACTGGTAGCGTCCCCGGTAGTGCTGCATCAAAGAAACTGACTTGACGATTGGGTCTTGCGGACGCTAATGTAGCTGTTGGAGCTCCACTCATGAGCTTCGAGCGGCTCAAAATCTGCGCATGTACCTCCAAACCAATGCAAACCTCCCATAGATTACCACTTGCACTACGTAGGAGCTGTAGCAATGACTGACTCGTGCCATGTAGTGCCACTGGAGCCATTATGACAAAAACACAATGAAGAAAAGAGGTATCATAAATATTTTGATTGGCTATGATGACATTTGGTGTGTAATTATCATAATCGTGCTTTATTTTAGATAATCATGTCCAACGTGACCTTTTCAGTGTCAGAAGCGTCTTGTATTTCTAAAATTAATTTGTTTCGTTGCACAATAAGAGTAATTTGGTCGTGGCAAATTAGAAATAACGTGTCAATCACTTATCATATGGCTTATGATGATGAGCTTTCTCTTTGATAATGATCAACTTAACATGAGGTCCTTTTGGCAGTTTTGTCAGACGTGACAGCATCGTATGGTGCCAACTCAGCAAGTGTGAATTGCCTTCCATTGGTTCTCGCATCGTATAAATATGCGGCAGCTTTTGCTGGAGGGATTCAAACCGGTCACGGAACCACATTATCGAGCGGCTTCCCTAATGGAAAGCAATGGGGCATAATGGTTTTTGACAGTATAGAGAAGCCTCGATAGTGGGATAACACGCCAGAGTGACAGTCCCGTCGTCTGCTTCCACAAGACCTCCACATAAATATCCAGCAAATGTTTCACGATCCCACCTGGCAAAGCTCTTGAAGTGTAAAATTACTCTTCAACTGCAGCACGAGAAGACCATGATGCGTCTCTTTGGAGCGTAAGAACGACCATAAAGTCAATGATAAAGTCTGTCTCCGTCGAATGTTGAGCAAGAACAGGTTCAAATAGAATGAGACCTCCAAAGGTGCCAGGATTCGCTACTTCCGTAGCCCATAGGCCTGCTGAACCCATGGAATGGCCGATCCTGATAAGTTTGCGTTGCATCTTTCCTTCACTGTATTCAGATTTGATCTTCTCCTTCCAGCTGCTTCTTGTTCTTGCACTGCACCAGTCACCCATCCAGCGAGATCGTGTTTCGAATTCCATACCCGCGGTGCTTTTGGATTGCTAAGTTGAATTTCAAATGACTGGATCGCCGCCCTGCTTTTTTTGCTTGTCACCATGATACGGGAACTCGAACGTGACAAATTCGTCGGAAAGGCTTGTAAAATTAGCGATTCTTTTCGACGACAGGTAATAGGATTCCACGTATCCTTGCAAAATCCACCGCCATTAGCAACAACAATGTCACCTTTGTATTGTCAGCCATGTTGATCCTTGATAACAGTGTTTAATAAGATCATGACCGACAATATATACTCCAGACACTCACAATCAGTTGTGTGCGAAGGTGTATCATGCCTTGTAATCGTTGACGTCAGTTGCAGTGTTTTAATGATGCGTCTATTTGGAGAAGAAGATGGCTCGAGGTCCGTTGGCAGCTCTACTGTTTGTGCATAATCGCTTTGGCAAAGACAGCTGGACCCTATCGTTTTGCATGAAGGCAACACCGCTGAAAACTGAAATTGGACTTTATCGCATACAGCTTCTATTGGTATCACAGCAACTGTGACCAACTGTAGTTCAGGCGGATTGCAGTAGCATTAAGGAACCGATTGTAAGTCACCCTCAATCAACGATGACCTGCGCGATGCTGCTATTCATTTGTGAATGACACATCCACGGGTCGTCCACAGCTTGGTTGAGTCGAAGCTATGAATGTACAAACATACAGTGACGATGTCGTGGTAACGTTGGTATTACAACAAATTCAAATGGTAGTATCGTCTTTCGTTGTGATTCGATTCTAGATAGGAGCTACTAGCAGGGCATAATAATGGTTTTCTGGCGAGGTCTCGTCGAAGTGATAAATTATGTCTTTTCCGCTGATTGTTTGAGAGCAACCTACAACAAGAAACTAGTTTTCCTGCTCTAAAGTGTGTCTTCTGCTTGTATGAAAATACAGTGCGCTATCATAGCATTTAGCTTACAGCTACCAACTAGTATATTACTAGTAAATTCTTGACTAGCCGAGACGTCTTGAATAAAACCTCTTGGTCAAGCAAGACGTTCACGAAAAGAACTTGTATGAGAGAACCAGCACACAAATATGAGATTCAGTCTATATTTTGAGTGTTTCAAGACGTTTCAATCAAAACCTTATAATTGTGTTATTGGTGACAAGCCATGAATTCTACAATGTTTTGCGCAAGAGCGCATCCACGATGTCGAGAGATCTTCTAGGTCATGACAAACGTTGCTGCTTCAAAAGCGGTTAGAATGGATTTGTAAACAACGGGTTGCACAGCCTTTGTGAAGCAGAATGAATCAGGACCTGTCTGCAAGATGTAAAGACAGCATGGCATGCGCCTGGCATCAGTCGTTGGGCATGAACAGGCATGCGATTCTGAGGTTTTAGAACAAGGTTGCATGGCATGCGTTTCTGTTTTTGAAATAAGGTTGCTATGCCCGAGAAACTTCCAGCTGCTCCTGATTTGGTTTCGTTGACTGAGACGTCGTCTCATTCTGCTCGAGGCTCCAAGACTCGAGGGCATGATTGCTCTCTCATTTTACGATTTACCAAGATCATCTCAACCATTACAGCTGTGTCCAAGATGAAACTCTTCATTTGTCTCAATAGACCTCGTTCCTGCTGTCGGTGGACTCGCGGCTTCGGTCCCTGAGGTCGGCCTCGATCCAGAGGTCCAGCTACCCTAGCTAATCAGAATCAAGATTCAGGTCTTAGGATGAAGATAGAGTAAATGAGTTAAAAGATAGGAATATAATAAATACTACTCAATTTGCGATCTACATAGCACACCTCCGTCGTGCTTCCAAGGTACTTACTAAGTCTACCACCTGTTCCGGGAAGGGATGTTTTTTGCCTCCCCCCCGTCGAAGACAGTCGTGTGGTAAGACCCAAATGTGAATAGAGACCCAGGGTATATTTGGCCTGTGGGTTCTCGGAGTAGCACCCCCCAATTGACCCGCTATCGGAAGCGGTCTCCCTACCCTAGTGGTTCGAGAGTAAGTACAGGCCAGGCAGTTAACAACCCTGAGATATCAAGGAAGGAAAAGGCCAGTGTTGAGTATCTCCCCGAAGAATTTGGTCATAAGCCCACCCTCAACCTAGTCAACCGACGGGCCACCTACTAGCCTACAGAGTGAAGCATATACACTCGAGACACCCCCAAAGTCGACCTCTTTCAAGTCGACATCACATCTCAACCAAGTCCTCCGAAGAGTGCAACCCGCCAGCCGACGGGTGCACAAGGTGAGAGAAGGTCCATACGCGGCATCGGGGTACCCCCTCCGACAGTCGGCAGTCCGGCACAGTGAGTGGCTTGAGGTCTCATCACGCAGTTTTGAGAATTCAGTCCACCACAGAAGTCAAGTGGAAGAAGAAGCTGAGCTTCATGCTGCAGAGCAGCAAATTGTGCGCAGATTTTATATCTGCAAGAGCACAGGCCATTTTATGGCAAAATACCCTATAGAAAGGTATATTTGCCCTCAAAGGGCCGACGACCCATAGGTAAACCCTCTAGTTTGCCTCAGAGAAACGGCGTAGCCGAGTAGGCGCGGGTTGCCCTACTAGGGAAGAACTGAGTTCTGTTGAGCCTCTAGGAGGTGAAGTAAGCAGTTACTTGACCCAAGGAGACCAGAGCTCTTAAGAAAAAAACGAGATTGCATGCCAGGCTTGCATTCGTCAAAGCGACCAAAAAGCTTTGAATAAGCCATGATCATTTTGGTCGACTCGGGTACATCGGCAATCATGCCCGCCGTGCCACCGTGGAACACAGTCAGCGGTATGCTGAAGCGCTCAAGTACGAGAAAGTGAGCACGCCTAACATTCCTATCAATCATGTTGTCAGCACGTATTTGGATCAATATTACGAAGTAAGTTGCATGAGTGAGCATTGTCATGTCGATTTTGATGGATTAGCCGTTCAGCTTAGCTCCCGTCATTAATCGGAGGTTAAAGAATTCCCTTTAATCATTAGAGAATCATTACGTCAACGATCGAAAGTTCGTTCCCGGAAACGTTCTTCGAGTCTGGAACTAAAAGCTCTTGTCCGTATGTGGTCGTAGCTGCAACGGCAGCGAGCACGATGACAAAGGACCAAGGTGGACCTCTAAGGACTGAATTTGAGAGTTCATCGACTGCAGGAACGAGATCTATCGACGAAGGACCAAGATCTATCGACAAAGGATCAAGGTCTACCTCCAAGGACCGAGGTCGAGAGTCCATGGACCAAAAGATCGAGGTCTATTAAAAACGGACCAAGGCAGACCTCCAGGCACCGGGCTAGAGGGTCCGTCGACCGAAGTACCAAGGCCTTTGGACGAGAGAGAAAGAACTTTTGACGAGGAACCAAGGACGACTTCCAGGCACCGGAGTTGAGAATCCATCGACCAAAGGGCCAAGGCCTTTCGTCGAGGGTCCATCGACCAAAGATCGACATCTGCCTTGATGAACGATCAAGATCTACCAACAATAGACCATGGTTGACTTTAAAAGACCGAGGTCTACTAATGATAGACCAGGGTCGACCTTGAAGGACTGTGGTCTACTTCAAATGACTGTAATCCAACTTGAGAAACCGCAGTCCACCGGGCTAACCGCGGTTAGCACCTTTGAATGGTGGCCAACTAGCAGGCTTTGATCGTGAATTATTCCCATCCAAAGGTTGTTCCCCCTATTATATCGTCCTTTATCTTTTTCCCTTACCCAACGCTTGCCTCTCACCGGCGAGCCCCTTTCTTTTTGGCCCACTAGTCCTCTGGCTTCCCAAATCCTAAAAAGGCTTCACCACACTACAGTTCATTGGCAACAGACCCATCAGACTAGAACTTAAGAGTGGCAGGTCTAGCGGCCTCAACGTTGGTCTTGGTATTACATGCCACTCCATCGACTTCCTCAAATGAGGACGGGTTTACCCGGAAGAATTTCGTCCTGGAGACGCCAACTCGGAGGCCCTCCATGAAGACCGTGACGGTAACTGCCTCGGGCATAGGGTCCATGATCATGGCAGCAATGAGAGTTTTAAACACTTGCACATATGCTGCAAGCTTACACTTACCTTGGCGACGCGTCAAAAACCGCGACCGATTACGGTGCGCTTGATCTTGTGGTGCATACGGCCGGGTCGTCTGAGCTTTTAGATCGGCCCATGTTGGGAATGAATCTTGCAGTGATGCACCGCATGTGAACGCCCATTGCTTGTCTAAACCATTCAGATTACCCGACGAACTTGTTTCGGATGCGTGGTACCGAGTACCCAGGATGGGGCTCCGACGAAAGCCGATACTTGATCCAAGGGTAGGTGGAGTCGGAATTATTCAGGGCTTCCTGCAATTTGGCGGGATCGACCCTTCCTCACAACCTAGAAACCAGTGCACCACGCAGCGAGGTCGAGAAAGGTGTCGGAAGAAGGGGCCAAGCAGAATGTCAATATTGCATCGACCGTCACTTTCCTTTGAAGATCATTTCGGCGACCCCTCGCCAAGACGCTTCTTTCGCGCATTATAATACGACGAGTGGAAGGTGTTGGCGCGCGCTTGGTCTCCAGAGATCCATAGGCAGTGGGTGGCCTACCAAATTGCTTGGCTGTGATCTTCGTCTAAACACATGTAGGCCACCTACAGTTCCGCGAACCAGCCCACTGGCTGGAAAGATACAGGTGCGGCTGATATTCGTGCTGACAGCCATGGTCGGGTGTCTAAAAGGCTCTTGAGCTTTGAAGAGCTGACCAGTGACGGTATCCACTTTCAACGTCGATCGACCCTCCCGTCTGGTAGACCGAACCAGCCCTAAGGCAGCTCCAGGCGGTCATCCAAATCACGGTTATCGTCACGATACTCAACGAGTTGACCAGGTCGACCGACCAAAGCGCTACCTCCAAAGCAGTGAGCGATTTTACCTACATACATCCAGAGATGAAGTTTCCCTTCGGAAGCACAGGTGACCCACCTGGGCGACGTCTGCCTTTGCGATTGCGACAAGGGCCTTCTTGTCCAAAACTGACTCGGTCTCTGAGTTAGAAGAC